GCGTTTGGAAAACGGCGTGTCCGCGTTCGCGGCCGACTCGGTACCGTTCGAAGGGAGGTGGGGGGCGGTCGTTTTTAAACCGTTTTTACCCACACACGTTTCGAGCGACGCGTTTTCCCGGGGCTTTTTACGGACGCGCGCGCCGTTTCGTCGCCCGCGGATTTCGAGCGCGGCGGCGGCGGCGGCGGCGGCTGCGGTGTTCCGATCGCGGTCGGCGATTTTTCTCTCGGCGCGTTGCGCAACCGTCGCCGCCGCCCGCCGCGTTCCCCCGGCGTGTGTCGCGGGCCGACCGCGTATTTCGGGCGGTACGCACTGCGGGACAGGTCGCCGCGGCGCCGCGCGCGACATTTCGCCGTATTACGGGCGGTGCCGCCGGCGCGCGTACGCGTATACCGCGCGCCGGCAAAACGTTACGAAAGCGCCGCCGCGCACGCCGCTTCGACACGCGCGTTACCGGGAAAAACCGCCGTGGCCCGCGCACACACGCGCGCACAATACCGTACGTACGTGCGCGTGTGCACGTATACTGCGCGCGTGTGCACACACGCGGGAGAGCGCGCGCGCTCCGCGGAGATTTAACGCCATTGTGCCGTTTTTTTTTTTCGCTTCCGACACCTATTCAAAAAAATAGTCGTGTAGTACCTGTCGGCGGAATAACAATAATAACAATAATAATATTATATTTTTATCAACAGGCACTCGTATAATGTTGCGCGTGTACCCGTGTGAGGCTGCGCCGCCGCGCAGCATTGGCGGCCGCGGCGGCAACGCGCTACAATGTAAAAGAGACCGAATAAAAAAAAAAAAAAACTAAAATATATACATATATATATATATATATGTAAAAAACAACAAATCGGTTCTTTGTGTTATTATGTTCTCGTACGTATTATCGTAATATATAAATATGTATGTATGTATGTATGTATTTTTATTTTATTATTTTTTTTCATCTACTTTTTATAATACGTACAATATATACATAAAATATTATACATATTATTGTTGTTATTATTATTATTTATACCATTGTCGGTATACGCGCGCCGGTATATTAGGTACCGCCGCAGACAGGTATATACCGCGGATGTGTGTGTGCGCGTATGAGTTCGAACGAGATAATCGCGTGCGTGTGTAAAATATTTGCAAAAAGTGAGTGTATGATATTATGGTTAGGTTTGTTATTATGCGTCTGTATAACAGTACGATATACGACGCGTCACCGAACCCTCAATCCTACTCGCGATTATACGGGGGAGGGGGGAGGGGGTTTCTTTTTTCTTTTAGATGTTTTTTATTTTTCGACGGGCACGCGTAAGCGCAAAAAGCGTCGCGTCCTCCTTGAAAATCGAAATTAAAATAAAACGAATAACAAAAACCGACCGACCGACCGACCACCCGACGCACAAAACGCGGTCGCCGTGCTCGGCTCCGGGTCCGAGTCTCGGTGGATGTCTCGGCCGAGACACCGGCTGTAACAGCGCGGGACCGGCCGTAACGGATATCCGACGTTGTCCGGTTCTCTCACAATACCGGCCGAAAGTCCCCGCGGGGCGGGGTAGGCCGCGGTACGTGGCGTTTAGCGCGCGGCCAAACGGACCGCCCTGCACGCACCGTAATGCGCCCGGCGCGCGCGTACGCGAAACGTGTTGGCCGATAGCCCGTGGAAACACCGTGCGTGACCGATCGTAAATGGGCGAATATTACGGAAGCGTTCGGCTCCGAAAATAATAATAATATTACACTGTTATTATACGGCCGCGGTACGCACTCTGTTTCGCGGGCGGGTAGTTGCACAACTACGACGACGACCACCACCACCACCACGACCACCGCGACCACCGCGACCACCGCGACCACGATCGTCACCCGCAATGTACTGCAAAACTCGCGAGTTACGGTCCGAATTATAAATAATGATATTGTGTCAATAACGATTGCGGCCTAGCCCCGGAAACGTTCCGATTACTAAGTACCGTAAGACAGAGGTAGACAGAGAGAGAGAGAAAGAGAGAAATGAGTTTTTATATTGTTTTACGTATTATAAGGTTTTCGAATTTTTTTTTTTTTTTTTTTTTTTTTTATCTTTATTATTGTTATTATTATCGCGTTGAACTACGACGACGACGTAACGCCGATTTCTGGAAAAATATTATTGTAATGATATGCGTGGTCGACACACGTAAAATACGATATTGACAATTTTCTTAAAACGGGTTTTATCGTTCAATTAAAATTAATCGTGTAAAATATTGTATCCGCTACCCGTAGTGTTACGCTATTTTTTTTTTTTTTTTTTACCGACGAATAAAGAAAAGAGCGCGCGTATATTGCGAACAAATGGAAAATCATATAGATGCGTTTTATAATTACACGTGTATAATTATTATAGAATTATCGAACGCACGGAATAGACTTTTTTTTTTTTTTTTTTTTCTTAATTGGTCGAACCAAGGCCGTTTGTTTATCGCGGGCCGACCGCTGCAAAAGTAAGCAGTCGGGGAGCGCGTATTAAAAATTAAAAAAGAAAAAAAATAAATAATCAATTTATTAAAACCGTCCGCAATACGAAAACGATCGTATTGCGCTTCCCGGCGCGAAATCGTACGAAAACCCGCCGTAGAGAACCACAGAAAAAAAAATATAAAAATATCCGTTCTATTTTTTTTACAATTTACCCCGGGTCATTAGTCATACGATACAGGCGTGCGCGCGTTGTACGAGCGGTCGTGATGATGGTCCGAAAACTTTTCGTGCGAACATGATCGGGTTGATGATGTTTACGAACGGTTTTTTTTTTTTCATGTTTTTTATTTATTTACTTTTTTTCCGCGACATTATCGGAGCTCTGTGCGCGGTACGCGTCGTTAACAAACGTTTTATTATTATTATTATTGTTATACGGTGTGCCGTATAACGCGGCCGCATAACGGGTCGGTCGCGGCCCGCGCGAAATCTCCGGCCGGCGATCGGCGGGCCGCGCGCTATTATCGTCCGGGCGTCCCGAAAGCGAAACTCGATAATTCGCGCGACGTCCGTCCGGGCGAACGTCGGAGATTCGTGGGGACACTGCGACGGGGACGTTTCGTCGATATCCGACGCCGCCGGATCCGTTAACGGTCTTTTTTTTTTTTTTTCATATCTCTGGCCGCCAATTCGCCCCTCCCCCGTCCCGATAAGGATTGATTTTTTTTTTTGGTAAAAACGACACATCTCTATTGGTCACTGTTAGCTCAACACGAGGTTCGTTGAATCGTTCAAATCAACTTTTAACTCAACTTGGTTTTATTAAACGTGTTACTAAAAAAAAAAAAAAAATGTTCGGATAACATTAGCGTTAATAGAACATTATAATCTTGGGGGGGGGGTCGGGGAGATAAGCGCCTACGAAATATTCGGGCCCTGGCCGGATAAACCAATACTTTGAATAATACATTTGGGCGCCAGTCGAATGTAAGGGGAGGTGGGAGGGGGCAGCACTGCAAAATGATTTTTTCTTTCATGCGATGGTCATGCGAGCCCAACTGATCAGTACAGCCGTTAGTCGGGGGGGGGAGGGGAAAGAAAAAGGGCCAAACATCAACCCGACTAATCAAGACACCTGGGTCTACAGCCGTTATTGACGCGGCAACGATTTTTCGTGGTCCGCGGGGTTTCCGTGCGAGCGGCGACGCGGGTTTTGTCGTTAAAAAACGTTACGGCGCGGAGGAGGAGCAGCGGGTATTAGACATGCGAAAAGTGACGTGAAGAAGAAAAGAAATGGATACAAGTACGTTGGACACGCCGCGGTAACGGCGGGCGGAAGGAGAAAACGGTTAAAAATACGTTTCTTGGCGGCCGTTAAAAAAAAAAAAAAAAAAANAAACGGTTAAAAAAACGTTTTTTGGGGGCCGTTAAAAAAAAAAAAAAAAAAAACACACACACACGGAAGATTTCGGGGGTGTTCGTCGCGTACGGCAATGCCCGCGGTAATGTTATACAATCGAACGCATTTAAAAACGCAATCAACGACGTTAATGACGAGGCCGCCGCCGCGCGAGTAACAAGTGCGTTTACACGCGAGAGCGCGGGCGGCACGGCGGGCGAGGGCGCGGCGGGCGGAGCGGTACGACATGTGGTGAAACCGTTGCGGGGGGCAGATGCGTCGCGGCTCTCCGCGCGGCGCTCTCAACGGACGCGAAATACACCCACCGCCGCCGCCGCCGCCCGCGTCACCCGTGCACTTTACACCGCGCACGTACGCGACAACGAACACTACAACGCGGTGTAATAGTAGTGGTAATAGTAGCAGCAGTAGCGGCAGTAGCAGTTACCGGTGGTAGTAGTACGGCGGAAAAAAACAACACACACACACACACACTATTTTCGTTATCTTGCACCCATTGTTCTTGTAAGGAAGCACGCTTCTTCGTATATTTACGCGGACGGACGGCGGGGAAAAAAAAAAAAAAAACGTCCGTTAAAAATAATTACGCCGTTCGACGGTTATTTTTATTATTATCGTTGTTTTGTTTTTTTCCCCCGTCGACTCTTTCCGTCGTCTGGCCGACGACGCCGCGGTGTTTCCCGCACGGCTCCGGGTCCGCCGCGAGCCCATGCGCCGGCCGAATGAACGCGGCCGAACGGCGAACGTTTACGCGACAACGTCGTCCGACAAACGTCCACGAGACTTCCGACCGAGACGCGAGAAGCTCTCGCAGCGACCGTTGTGCGGGGGACGTCGGCCAGGGCGAAACGAGAACGTACAAGAACCGAACGCGCGGCGCGCCCGCCGTTCTTCCCACTGGGAAGTCGGGATGAGTTACACACGGCAGTGAAACTTCCACGTAACGGTGTCGTCGACGGGACCGGAAATAACGATCGCTATTTAGAGGTGTCCCGTAGACGTCCCGTAACATTTGACGGGACCAGAAAAAAAAAATAAATAAATGACCGTTAACGGAAGTTTTACTGTACGCGCGTAGCGCACGGGGCTTATCCGCAGTCGACGTTATAACGGAAGCTGAGATTACGAACAAAAAACGATTCTCAGCGGTATAGTCGAATTTCAGCGTATATAATACGGCGCGTGTATCCCTTATGCGGTCAAAAAAGCAACAACAACACAACCGACGCGATTGTTCGTCAGTTTTTTTTTTCAAATGAACCTCCCCGGACGGGAAATCCGCATCTCTTAAGGAGCGAAAGTCGGAGCGTGTTCGCTGATCGAAGAAGTTTTCTACGTCTTGGTTAGAACGAATACGGTTTCTTCACTGCACACTCTTCACTATAAAAACGTTGACGCGTTTCTTTTACGCGCAGAGTTTTTGATTTTCACCGGCGTTTTCCAACAGTCCTGCGTTTTACGGACTCGACTTCGGACGTTTTTCAGATTGCGAGTTAAATGTTTTTGTTTTTTTTTTGTTTTTCATAACTGTTCCAACAAAATCGAACTGAGGGTTCGATATTGAGGATATTATCGCGTCCGGAGAGGCGAACATCGTATTGGAACGGGAATTTTTTTTTTTTTCTTCCTCCGGAGTTTCGTGAACTTTGCTCGCGGAGGCGATTGTGCGTACACCGTGTTACGACGCAGGTAAATATTAATAATACGGCGTTTCGAGTACAGGTACGTAGGGAGTATAAGTGCTTGCTAAGCAGTCGAGAAAAGCCTCTATACGTATTATACACACAGGCAGTAGTCGGTGACACGGTAAAACAATACGCCGTATACACACACGCACACGCGAGCAGGTATATGCGGCGATCCGGATTTAATAACTGGTCCATGCTAATACTCTACAGTGTGTGTCCGGTCGTGATGATGAATATTTAAACGAGTAGAATTTTTTTTTCTCCTATCTCTTTTCATCATCATCATCATCTCTCTCTCTCTCTCTCTCTTTCCCTCTCCGTCTTTCTGTCCGCATCACAATTTCCGTCCCCGTATCCCGATACTTTTCTCTCTCTCTCTTTCTCTCTAACTCTCTCTCGCGCGCGCGCTCATTTCGTTGTTTAATCAATCCAGACGGCCGCGCGCTCAATGAGCGCCGGCGAATCGCCGAGCACGATCTCATGAATAATTCACTCGCGGTCCTCCGTACGCGCACACGCTAAACGCCGCGGCCCTCCTATGCTAATTTCGTAACTGGAACTACAGACCACTGTGCAGAAAACGGCATCGGTGTCCGCACGGCGGCTCCGCGGGTACTGTACGCAATAATAGCGCGCGCACAATAACAATAAAGCCGCAGTGTAGACGTACGCGCGCACAGGAATTACAATAATATCACGCGCGCACGCGGTACGCCGGCTCGCGCGCAACAGCGTGCACTCGAGTGCGTTCAATTAACGTATCTGTCGCGTGTATCGTATACGAAACCAATAAGCCGCCGAGCCTATGCACCGGGTCCTACCCCCCCCCCCCCCCCCCCC